CAGTATAAAGAAGTTTACTAACATCTCTTACAAAATGTTAGTGTTCAGTAGATAAAATATTCTTCCCCCCTTAAATTAATGAAATTTGTTATTTTAAAATTTTCATGTAGTCTAGACATTCAATATTTGATATATGATCTCACATGTCTTCCCTTCTTTGTCTTCATGTACCTCATAGTAGGTTATATATAATTTGTTAATACTATAATTTGAATTGGATGCTGTGCTGAGATGGACATAAATCTTGGGTGTCATTGGATAATGCTATGGTTTAGATATGGTTTAATTTTGTTTCCTCAGGTATTCTTTTTATTGGTGCTTGGTCTCAAGAGTAGCATCATAGGGAGGTTTTGTGGAATTTGAGAGGTGGGACCTAGTAATAGTCCTTAGATCATGTAGTTTTCATACAACCCTTAGATATCATGTGATGGAGTTCTTATAAAGGAACAAGCATTTCCCCATCCAACTCTCTGCTTCCTGGCTGGATGTATGACCCTTACTCCATGTGCACTCCCATCACCCACCATTGAGCCTGGCCCAGAGCCTGGACTATGACATTTTTACTTCCATCAAAACTATAACTATAAGAGGGAAGTGGAGGGGATGGGGCATAGGAAGGGCAGCAGAATACAACAGACACTAGTATTGCTGCATGTATAAATGTGGCTGTATAACCAATGTGATCCTGCAATCTGCACACATGGAAAAGTGAGAATTCATACACCAGTTGAATCTAATGTGTGATATGTCAAGATTGTTATATTGTCTTGAGAAAGCAATAAAAAAAGAAAAAAAAACTTAAGGTAATTTAATCTCTATTTTAGGAGTAGCTTGTGTTAAAAATTTAGATATAGTAAGTAAAGCTACATAATAAAGAAATCAATTTAAAAATTCAGAAATTTTTTCTGTAGATTTATTCAACAAATATTTCATAAGAACCTTATTTATTTGTTGATCTGTCTTTGAAAAATTTATTTGGAAGTCATAATCTCCATTATCTCAGAATATAACTATTTGGAGATGGCATCCTTTAATATAATTAAGAGGAATCTACTAAGGTAAATATTATCCAAAGTGAATGGTGTACTTAAAAGAATAAGAGATAAGAAACAAACATGCAGAAGTAGGATCAAGAAGGAGACCCAAGAAGAAAAGGATCCCAATTAAAGGCATGGGAAATGTTTCAAAACACAAGAGTCTGCTATATTCTTGTTATATTATATATAATATTTCTTAATTTAAACAAGGAAGCATTTGGATAAGTGGGATTTTTTAAATATATTGCTAGTGGGAGAGTGATTCAGCTACTCAGGAAATGTTTTTGCATTTTTAAATATTAAATGTCATGAATTTTTACCTATATGTGATACAGGCATAA